AGAGAGAGAGAGAGAGAGAGAGAGAGAGAGAGAGAGGAAGATAGGTGGACGGCTAGGCAGGTAAGGAGGAAGGACGTTCCTCTCAAAGGGCGGCCGTTCTACCATCCTCGAAAAGGAGGTATTGAATGGGTAGCAAGAGGCTTCCGCGAGTGCAAGAAACTTTAAAGTTCGGAACTTTAGTTCAGCTGTTAGCTTCTAATTAGCGGACAAACAGCCAGCCCCGAGATACAGGCATCGCGTCTATTGGTAGCCTAGAGGGAAGAAATTGTAAACTAGATGACTATCTGCATGCTCGTCCACTTTCATCTGGTTTTATCTAGTTACGCTCTAAATAAAATTATATTAAAATATTAAAAACATAATCAAGAATTAATTTAAACACATTATCGATAATTAATTTGCCGTGATTATTATTTATTAAAGATCTTAATATCGATGAGAAATGTTTCTTACACGAAAAATTAGATACTTTATAAAAATAGAATATTATGACATTTTTTACTTCAAACTTTTTTCTTTTTATAATTTAAAAATAAGGAAGTTAAGAAAAAAAAATCAGAAACATTGAACTTTAATTTTCTTATTATTGTTATTTTACACAGTATTTCCATTATTTTAATGATATATTACTTATTCCAATGGTTTGTAATATTTGCCTGTCGAGGAAATTTAACGCCATCGGCTTTAGGATCACCAGTTCTGCAAGCTTCATTCCTTTTCCATCTTCCTGGTCCTCTTGCAGATTACCTGTCACTCCGTACCTGAATTAACCGTTACCTGTCGACATTATGAAAACGTTGGGCGTTACTGCCTGCGTCGCGAGTTGGTAACGTTTACCTACGAAATGACAAACGCACTCATGCCGCAAGTTTTGCACGGACGGCAGTCTCTGTATCGGTTCTGAACGGCGGGTCGCGGATTGGCCGGGGTGGGGGTTGCCCGGGGTGGCGAGTTGGGTCACCGTTGGTGCGAGGGTTTCAATATGCTTCGGCGGTAGTTACAGTACCCTCTCCGGACCACCGCAGATCGGTCTAGGCGGTGGACGGGTGGCAGGTGGAGGGTGGCGGAGGAAGGAGGACTATCGTGCTGCGGTATCGGTCGCCTTGGTTATTTAGGAAACCATATCAAAGTTTGAGTTGGCTGCCTGCCGCTGCTGCGCACCCTCTCTATCGGCGCCTCCGCCTCTGGACAATGAGGTCTCTTCCGGTCTCGTCGAGGTCGCCCTTGACGTTCGTTACAACGCCAAATAACGGTATTTGAAACCACTAGAGTATACGAGAAAATGTGTTATACGTAGTAGAAATTTGCAGCTTTCATCAAAATTATCAGAATGGAAACAATTTGTCTGCTAAAAATCTGTATAAATTAAATCATTGTTTAAATTAGTTGCCTGTATGTGAAAACATTTACGAAATCTAATAAAAATGTAACGAATTATTGTGCAACTTTTCTAGAATTTATAACAGAGTGGCAATAACGTTTACTTATTTTAGTAACAACATTTTTGGAATGAGAGTAAATGTTCTTTGGAAAATAAAAAAATAATAAAATGATTTACAAAAAATAAGATATTTCAGCATAATAAATTAAGTTGATAAAATATAAGTAAGTCGATGCGAAAATTCCGAGTATAAATCACGGTCATTGCGATCGCGCATTTTTCGCAATGACGTGTAGAAACCAATAGAAGACGACGTGTTACCGCAGTGAATTGTAAAGCGAGAAAGGGAGGCGGTTCTTCTATTTTCCCGCCAGGTCCGCGGGTTCTTCAGGAAGGGTCTAGAGATTTAATTAAGGCAAGGCGACGGGTAGAAAGACGAGTCGCTACGTCGTGTAAACTCGAGCCCACCCGTTGGTCCCCCCGTTCACTCCCGTCTTCTGTCCCCATCTTTGAAACGAGCCAAGTCAGTTACTCCTTCTCCACGCTATTCGAGAGGATCTCTCTTGAAAACTCGTGAGAACGCTGCACACGTCTAGAGCGTAGATCTTGTTCGGCCGAGCGTGTACGTCAAAGTTCGTCAGGCTACTCGGATTTCCAGCGTCAGAAATTCCCTTCAGGAGGGCCATGTCTTATTGCGACTTTCGTAAACCTTGTCACGATGTGAAGGCGTTTCCACAAAGTTAGCGAAACGTTTCATTAAATGGCAAGAGGATTTAAGTATATTTTATAAATCTATGACAATATGTGCAAAAATTTATAATCATTATGATCATTATAACCATTTTGGTTTCGATATTATTAGAATATTTTATCTTAACAAGAGAAAGATTATTCATACATACGCGACATATTATTATGTTAGAGACCGAACTAACTAACTCATTATTTTATGTTAGTAAGATTTTACAAAGAAATTTTTCTCAGAATCTTTTACTTTGCTCTTCTTCGCAAGCGTTAAACTTACTGGATCTCTTTATTCAAAGTCCACTACGAAACAGCATACAGGCATCATCTGCCTCGCGGTTTTAGCGTCAATAATTTGCAAAGGCTGCGGGGCAGGTTCTAACCGACTGATTTCACGCATCTGGCGTTTGGTGGTTTAGTCTGGCCCAGTCTATGCTCGCTTCAGAGCAAGAGGATCGGCGAAAGATGTCGGAAACGAGGTAGAAGGTGAGAGACAGTTAGCGAGAAAGAGAGAGAGAGAGAGTGGGGGGGGGAGAGAGAGAGAGAGAGAGGGAGTCAAGAGAAAGCTGGAGTTAGATGGCGAGAGAGTGGGTGGATGAAAGCAGAGGGCGAGTGCGGGCAGTCCCTCGCCGCCGTGGTGGTCCCGTGATCAATATTCCTTACCCCCTTTGCCTTGGCTCACCCCTCCGGCACGATACGGGTGCCCCTTACTTCGGGAAAACCCTCCTTCTACCCATACACCCGCCACCTATCCCCTACCCCCTCAGGGGAGAACCCGGCAGAAACCCCTGAAACCCCTCTTGCACCCTCGTCTTAATTAGGAGTCTGAATCTGCGGCGGACACGCGTATAAGGGTAGGTTGGAGGAGGTCGAAAGGGGGTGGAGTGTGGGTGGATGGCTGGCGGTAGAGGCCGAGGTAAATCCACAGACGAGCCTCGTGTCCGAGACATTATTCCCGACTTCGTTGCGATCGCCCGCGTCACGAACGTCGGGTCACCCTTTTTATTATTCCCCGAGATAAACACATTTGCGCGTCCTTACCCTGCCGCGCGGGATCAACACTGACTACCGTCAGCTCGTGTCCGGTCCATTTTCTGGACGAAAGAATTTCGCCATCGACTTTACCCTTATTTAACGCACAATTAACCAACATGAGCCCCTGTTCATGCTTCTTACGCACAGGATACCTCAGCAATTGCTATCTTTACATTTATATATAATTTTATTCGTTTCCGCATAAGTTTTAGCTGTCAACGTTTCACGAATATAATTACAAATCATCAGTATTTTCGTCAGATTTTTCTGATACTGATCATGCTTTGATTTATATTTGCCATGCCTTTTTAAAATGTTTGATAAATTACATTTGTAAAATTATTTCTCATCTTAATGAAATTGAAGAGGAAACCACGAGTGAGGGCAGTCACGATTACATTAAAACAATCAATTATAATTGGCAGATGCAGAATGTTAAGGAACTTGAAGTGTGCATACGCGGTTAGCAAGGATATTTACATGCGTGGTACATATATAGGATGGTATATGAAGGGTGGGCGGCGGTGAAGCTGAACCGAGAGGATATTGGGGTTAGGCCATTCATTAGATTATGGGAATTCGGTGGTACCCGTCGAAGGGAAAGGAGAGGAAGAGCTGGGGCTCGGCTGCGCGATCAAGGACCACCCTACGTGCATTAACTTGCGTCACAAGGTGCGGCGATGGGGTTGAGAACGAATGAGAAATACAAAAAAAGTGGATATCTTCCTAATCATGTTTTCATTGAATCTCTTGATAAAAATCAAGAAATTAATAAAAATGTAATATTATGCAGCAGATTTGTGTAAAAAGAATTATTTACTAAGAATTTTATATTATTCCTGAAACGATGAAAAATCTAAGTGAGCGAATTGAATTTATTACGTTATAACATTTACTTTGCATTGAAAAAAGTAGAATATCTTAAAAATAATGAAAAAGAAAAAGGGCTACGAGCCAAAAAATTCGTTAAAATATACAATTGTTTGTAAATAAAAATTGTCATTTGGTTATAATTACGTAGTTTAATTAGAAAAACAAGAAATAGATAACAAACGTTTCGACCTCTATTAGGTCATTATCCATGTTACGATGATCGCAAGTTGTTAACAAATGTTCGAAATTATAAAATTACAAAAGCATAAAAAAATATATAAAAATATAAAAAATATATATAAAAATGGGTGTGCAATCTCACTCGCATAGTTGAAGTTGTATTCATTTCCAGCAAGAAAACAATTCGTCTAGTTATAAATGTAGTTTGTGAAAGCGTGTAATAATTGTTTCTTATAAAATTATATCAATGTACGATTTATAAAATTGTCCGTTGTTAGAATAATACGATGAGAACTAAGTTTAAGATATTACACATTAGAAGTTTAGAAATTCGAATGAATATCTTAATTTTTTTAAATATTTATTATATGTGTCTCTGCAAATAATAATATATAATATTTATTTATCTTTATAAACTTCTAAATATTTAAGAGTATTCTGTATTTCTACTAGGAGTCAGAGGAGTAACAGGTATATTTTTTCTTTTGCAGAGCTGTCCCTAGTGAGGCGGGAATATCCCCGCCAAATCATGAACAAGGTAAGTTCAAACATATTTTGAAAGCACTTATAACTCTATTATTATTATAATCATATAGTATAAAAATTTTAAATTGAAATAGAATATAATTTTCATGTCGTGTCAACAGCTTTATTATTAATTTAAAAATTAAAAATTTCTTATTATTGTACATTTAAAATCATTCTTTTATATACCGATAAATTATAATACCAAAAAAAATAAAACGTCATAAATGAGATTTGATGCTTTCATCGAGAAGCCCAACAAGTCAGTTACTAGGGAGGATCGATCTAACACCTTTAATTGGTTTTCGTGCACCGCGCGACTCACATTACGTGTTCATATCTTTAATTGCAAACGTTTTTGACTATCGATCAACAAAATTGTATACATGAAAGATTTATACTATATTGCATACCAAAAATTACGCAGTACTTAAGAATCTTAAGATACATTATATTTTATAATGCACGTATCTTACATTTTATTGGATTAATGATGCAAAATTTTAAATCTTGAAAAATTTATTCGTTTCTATGTATCATTTTCAAAATTTTATTTATGAAGATGTACTCTTAAAAAATTAAAATAGTTAAAATAAAGTTAGTGATAACTAAAACAATTAAGAGAACTAAAATTAATATTTTAGCCAATAAGAATTGATTTATTATTTAATAATAACATTATTATTTAATAATTATAAATAATAACGTTAAATTAATTGCACAATTTTCTCTCTTGTTAATAATTATATGGTATACAGTTTAAAATACAGTAAAGAATATTTTTTATTTCCACATAATAAGAACGATTTTGCTGATGTGTCTAAAATCTAAAAATTTAGCTAGATGTAGATCTGAAAATAATTTGTTGGAAATAATTTTTAGGAATCTCGAGCATGATAAGCGATACTGCAAAAAGTTTTGATATTTTAATAACCAGTTTGAACGTTCTGTATAATAATTTTGATCCAATAAATTAATTTTCGCAGATTGTGTGTATGAGAGAGAGAGAGAGAGAGAGAGAGAGAGTGTGTATCTAATTAAATTATTAAATACCGCTGCAAAATCGTTCTTTCCATATAAATGATACGGCCGTGTAATGTTATAAAAATTTTTTACAAACTTTTTTTATGAAGAAATAGTTTACACTAATGTGTTAGAGAATTTATATCAATGCACAATATACAATACATATGTGTAACTTGTAAATGAATATGTGTAAGCTTCATTTGTAGGCTGTTTGTACATATATGCTTCTCTTCATTATACATTGCACATGAGAAAACTTCTCTTCTACTCTTACGCTTCTGTATTTTTTTACTCTGTCATGCCGGTTTTCCTTTTCGTTCTGGGGTTGCCAAGCCACCATTTACTACGCCCTCCCCTTCCCTGCACATCGTTGCCCGTCTCGTACCTCAGCTTCTTTATAAACTTTTAATGACGGCAAAGCCTAATCGAGAAAACGAGCGAACATGCCCAGCTTCGCGAAACTACTCGACAAAATCGACACAGGATCTCGATGTTCGATACTCAACCAACCATCACTTCGAAAAGACGTTCGTGCAATCTACAATAATGGCGTGTTGCGCGCCACTCTTCAATTATTATTAACTAACTTATCATTATTACGAGAAAAATGTGAACATAATACATTCGCGATAATTTATAGATAATTGATTTTTAGGTAACCAATTTTTATAACGTTGAAATATTAACGTACCTAACGTTCATTATTTTATACAATGTTGCATAAATGCTAACAAAAAGTCAATAAAAAATCTCAAGAAATTTAGCAGATGTAAGGTAGTAGTATGTTCTCGAATGTGCTAACTACATCTATAAAAGTAAATTTACTGTATTTATTTAATTTTTCGCAATTGTCAATTTAACTATTGTATAATAATGAATAAAGAATATTTTGATTAAAGAGAGAGCATTTATTGTAATACATGTAAAGAATATTAGTACAACTCTCTTTATCTATATTTCTCTAATTTTCAAGGCATGCATAATTTATTTTATAAAACATTAATTGCAAAATATTGATGTAAAAACATATTGATGACCGCTCGATAGCCAGTAGCGATACAACGTTGCATAAAGTAAGTCGTACGAGCAAGAAGTTGAAGTTCGAGCTCGAGTTTGAGCTCGCGGGGGCGCTTTCGATTTGCAACAAATCATTCAGCGTTTACACCCGGTTGCCCGTCCAGTTGAATTAAACTTCTACCGAGAACTTCGTTCTCCGTTTACCGGCTCGGAGGTATACATATACACTGGATATAGCTAACCGTCTGTACCTGCGAACTGCTTCTCGAAGTTCGCTCCCAGTGCCTTCGTGCGAAAGCAGTTAGCTGTTTGACGTAGCGCTATGCTCGTTACGGACATGTTTGGATTAACATGCCTACGCACGATGTACGCGAGTAAAACAAATTAAAGCGATAAGTGGTATTTGATAGTTAGATATTTTTGTACACCTTGATACGTTTGAAACGATATCTGATTACTGATATTCAAATGTACGAGTATTATATTTAAATGTATTCGAAGGTAGTACATTTTACAGAATATTATTATAAGGTTTACGAATTGTTAGAGAGAACTATTTGTTATATATTAGATAAAAAGATAATGTATTTAGTTAGCATTTATTAGGGAAAATACATTTTTAGTGAAAGCCCTACATTTCGATATATCAATTGAATCTCTTTACGCACATTATCGCTGGTTCGTAAATTCGATCGTATACGAGCTATAGCTTTTTCTTTCCCTCGAAAAAGGGAATGGCGACATAAACCCGTAACGTTCGACTCCTAAAGCACGATTAAACTAATCCTTACTTATTTGTTCCGTGTTCCTCAGTGCGTACGTCCTCTGCTACTATTAGATATATCTCCTGATCGTTGTTTCCTTGGGGATGGTCCTGGGGAAATTGGGCAAGTTCGAAGTTTCTCTCGTTGCTCTCTGTATTTTACACTGTATTGTAACAAGAATTATAATATCTAATGTATAATATCACATATATTAATATATGTATCACTGCATGTATATGTTTAGTGAAATTTAATGTATCAAACATAATAACATCTGAAAAGATTATAATAGTTTAAAAAGGATTAACTATATTGTACCTCGTTTGTATTGAGTATAATTTATCACTTTAAGAGCTTAATATTCTTAATGTTAAACAATACATAAAAATTTAAACGAATTTACTAAAAATATAGTTTTATGAAATAAAACAGCTGTTCCTGACAGATATAATTTTTAAATTTTATTCGAAAACATTAGCCACACGAAATAAATGTATTGCGGGTGCTCTTTCGGTAACGGTTAAAGGAGTATCGGTGTCGGAGAGTATACCGTGCGCCATTTAGTGGCGGCACTCTCTTTCATAAAAGACCTTAATAAAAATCCCAATCTAAACAAGCTTAATTTACGTTCGCCACATAATTACCTACCCTGAGGCATGACTTCCCTCGCTCACCCCCTCTGCCACGAACTACCTCTGCTGGCTCACTCCTCGCAGGAGAAAAGGTGAAGGGACGGGAACGAAGGAGGTGCGCGCACGTCGAGAGCGCACTGAAAAATCTAAGAGGCTTAAAGCATTAAAAGGGTTATATAACATTCATTACTAGCGGGTCAGCCTTTGTGAAATTTCCCTTGGAAGCGCCTTCACTCAGTGGACACGACCTTCTCTCGCCCTCCCCCCCTCCTTGATTTTTCTCCTCCCTCAATCCTCTTCCTCGCCCTTTCAAGCCGCTATCTTCTTCTTGTCGGTTCGTGCTCTCGCTCTTCCGTAGCATCGAGCATCCCTCGTCTCTAGGGGTGCAGAGTAGTCACGTGATCGCGCCATCGCCCGGCATAAGGGGCGATGGGACGGAAAGTGGCGGAGAAAGGAGAAGAGAGGAGGGTCCGCCTCTCTGATGAAGATGTCGCACACGCCGGGGACCCTGGCGAGATTACTCGGGTTAGAATCTGCGGACCCTGGTCAGGGCACATGCTAATTGCTTTATTTGACATCAAGAAATAATGTACTGCTGTTCTCTGGTACGACCGCCGCTGTGCGGGAACCCCGCGAGGAAACCAGTGGTCCTTCGTCCTCACATCGCGTCCTTTCTCACTTTGCCACTCCTTCGACTATTTCTATAAATTCACTCGCATCTCATGAAATGAGAGTTCTCTCGAAAATCTCATGGATCGCATCTCTAGTCTAGTACGAATGCAAACACTAACATATCTGTACTCGTTGTTCTTATTTTGTACGCGTATAAACCAGTTACGATCAAGAGGATATATGTATATATATATACATACATATGTAAATTAAATGTCATTCATATCATTATTGAATTTCTCGCGGAAGAATATTTTTCTTGAATATTCAATTTGTTTCTCGTTGTTATGGAAATACCTTTTTTATTTATCGCGTTGCAACTTTTCAAAGGACACAAGGCTATAAGCCGCGTCGTGTCATGGAATGCAAAGTATAGAACAGTTTGGTTATAAAAAAGACTTATGTTTTTACTTTAGACTTGGTGGACCCAATTTGATAGAGCTACGTGAGGCGACTGGTTACGTAAGCAGATCAACTAGAAGCCGGACCTAATAACCCTTAGTCGGACCAATAAACATTTTTCCGGGTTACATATGACGAAATTTGTATGCCAAATCGCGTATATCCGAGAGGTACGTTCCGACGCGGGGCACGCGCCTTTCTCGTAAATATGCCCTCGGTTGGCAAAGTGCTATTGCGTGAGAAGGGGAAAGAGGAAAGGCGGGGAAGAAACAGGGTATACGGGGGCTTAGGGTCGGTTCTGGGGTCGCCAAGGGTGCATTTCATCTTCGGAGGCGTCAGCTCGGAGACCGATCGACTATACGGCCGTCGGTTGGATCATCCATCTTTTATCGAATCGGACCTGATGGCCAGACTGCCGCTACTGCGGACTCGCAACTTTTGCCTCTCCGAAGACTCCTGAGCGCGGCACCTGAGTGTGTGCGTCCGCGTATAAATAATGG